GGGGGGGGATAATCCAGGGAAACCCTGCCCTGGGACCGGAAAAAAACTATAATAATAATCATGATAAAAACAGGTATCATTTTCTTTTGAAGAATTTGAAAGATTTGAAGAAAAAAAAAATCAACAGCAACGGCAACAGCAACAATAGCGTGGATTTCGAACCCTGTGGCCATGCGACGTATGACGCTGTGCTGTCAAGGGTCGTACTCCGCACAAAGAATTACGGAGTATTATCAACTGAGTGCCAAGTGATTGCGGGTTGAATACCATATTATTGGCGTCGGGGGAGGGGGTGTATATGGGATTTTTTCCTCCGGTGTTGTGTGTAAGTGTGTATGTGATGTGTGTGTATGTGTGTGTGTGTGTATGTGTGTGTGTGTATGTGTGTGTGTGTGTGTGTGTGTGGTCGGCCAAACGGTAGTGATAAGAGTCCGGAGTAGTAGTGGCGTCATGTCTGACATTGTTCTTTGGTGGAATGGTTGAGTTTGAATTTGACAGGTCCATATCAAGAGATTTGAATGGATGACAGTAAGGGCAATGCATGCATGTCATCCTGCCAATGTCCTGACGATGACATTTTCTCTTGTCCTCGTGTTGGTTGGCCACGTGTGTCAGTCTGAGGCTAGGTAAGTCTGTTTTACAACGAAGCCACCGTTACACCTATGTAGTCGTCTGGTTACGTACTGCAACGTCAAACGGCACTACTCCGTGCGTACGCGGCTGGAAAAGAAGAAGACGGGGGGAGGAGAAGAAGAGGGGAGGGGAGGGGGATTGGAAAGAACAGAAGGAAAAAGGAGAATGAGTGCTACGGGTAAAGCTTTCGAAAAAGAAGTGAGTGCTACGGGTAAAGCTTTCGAAAAAATAAAAGAAGAAGAAAAAGGCGACATGTTTGGGAATATCAAGATAATATATATATAGAGATGAACGACACCGTATCACGCAATTCGGCTAATACGACACCATCATGCTCAGCCCATCCAGCTCCCTATCCCAACAGCGATGCTGGCTGACGGCGTAGATGAACTTCTCCATGAAACCCTCCGCATGCTCTGCTACGCTGAGGACACGGCCGAAGCCGTGCACGGATGCGTCGCGCAGGGTGACGACTCCGTAGCTCTCGACGGGCTGGCCGCCGTCCGAGGTGGCCACCTGCGTCAGCTGGAGGGACTCGGCGACCAGGTCGACGGCCTCGCCGGTGGCGGCGATGGGCTTGAGGTGGCCGAACGCCTCCTGGATGTAGTGCCTCGCGCGGCCGCTGGCGGCCAGGCTGGCGACGGAGGCCTTGCCCCCGGGTATGACGAGGGCGTCGAACATGGTGCTGCGCTGACCCTCGAGGTGGTGGTCCGGCGTGACGGCGTCGGGGGAGCCGCGCTCCTCGCCGGCGGCGTGCGTGGGCGACCGTCGACGGCCGACCACCAGGGGCAGGGCCTTGGCGCCGCGCAGGGCGCCCACGACGGCGTCCAGGGCCGCGCGGTCGTACCCGTCCGAGATGAGGATGCCGACCCGGCGCGAGGCCACGGTCGGGACCCGCGGGACGTAGTCCATCTGGCTCAGTCCCGGGGCGGTGGCGCCCCTGTTGGGCCTGCCGGCCTGCGAGGGCGGCGGGCCGCCGACCGCGTCGCCGACGCCGCGGGCGAGGCCGACGTCGACGTCGGCCAGGCGCTGCGTCAGGCGCCCGTACACGACCGGGTCGTCGCAGCGGTCCAGCTCGAAGGACAGGGCCGCCTGCACGTGGGCCCTCTCGACGGCCGAGAGGGAGTTGTAGAAGAGCTGGGCCTGCGAGACGTGATCGCCGAACTTGGCGCTCCGGGACCGCTCCTTGATGCCCGCCACCCCCTGCCGGTGCTCGGCGTAGCCGCCCCTGGAGGCCGGCTGGGGCGGGTGCGCGCCGTACCGGTTGGGCCAGTAGTTGACGGAGCCCTTGGCGACGGTGCGCCGCATGGCTCCGTCCCGGTTGAAGTTCATGACCGGGCACACCGGCCTGTTGACCGGCAGCTCCTCCCAGTTGATGCCCAGGCGGCTGACCTGGGTGTCGAAGTAGGAGAAGTTGCGGCCCTGCAGGAGCGGGTCGTCGGAGAAGCCGATGCCCGGCACCACGTGGCTGGTGCAGAAGGCCACCTGCTCCGTCTGCGTGAAGAACTCGTCCACGTTGCGGTTGAGCTCCAGCTCGCCGATGTACCGGATCGGCACCGCGTCCTCGGGCCAGATCTTGGTCGCGTCCAGCACGTCGAAGTCGAAGTCGTGCTCGGCCGACTCGGCAATCACCTGGATGCCGAACCGCCACCGGGGGAAGAGCCCGTTGGCGATGGCCTCCTCCAGGTCCTTGCGGTGGAAGTCGGGGTCCTGCCCGGCCAGCTTGAGCGCTTCGTCCCACACGAGCGAGTGCACCCCCAGTTCCGGCGTGAAGTGGAACTTGACAAAGTGCCGCTCCCCCCGGTCGTTGGTCAGCGTGTACGTGTTCACCCCGAATCCTTGCATCATCCGGTACGACCGCGGGATCGCCCGGTCCGACATGGTCCACATGTACATGTGCGTGGCCTCGGGGTGCAGGTACACGAAGTCCCAGAAGTTGTTGTGCGCCGTCTGCGCCTGCGGCACGTCGTTGTTGGGCTCCGGCTTGCCCGCGTGAATCAGATCCGGAAACTTCATGGCGTCTGCCGGGATGTCAGAGAAGAAGAAGAAGAAGAAGGAAGAAGAGAGAGAGAGGGAGAGAGAGAGAATACATGACCACTATATGATCGATGATGAACCACGCCATATATCAGATCTGCAACGCACCTTGGATAAAGAAGACGGGAATGTTGTTGCCGACGAGATCCCAGTTCCCCTCTTCCGTGTAGAACTTGAGCGCGAAGCCGCGCACGTCGCGCACCGTATCGGCCGACCCCTTGCTGCCGAGGACGGTGGAGAAGCGTAGGAACACGGGCGTCTCACGAGACGTATCCGTCAAGACGCCGGCGTTGCTAAACTCCTCGGCCGACTTGTGCAGTCTAAAGGTGCCAAAGGCACCGGCTCCGCGAGCGTGGACGACACGCTCGGGGATACGCTCATGATCGAAGCGATGGATCTATGGGTGCGTTTTTTTTTTAGTTTTTTTTTTACACGAGAGTCAGCAGGGAAGTTATGGGATTGCTCATTGCATTGCTTGCTCGGCCGACGAACCTTTTCGCGTGCAAAGGGGTCCTCTAGGAGTGCAGGACCTATCTGGTCCTCGCTGTTGACGCGCAGCCAGTCGTCGTTGTTGGACTGCTTGGTGCCGAAGTCGGACGTGAGCCCGGCGTCCTTGGTAGGTTCGACGGTGTCTCTGGAAAGCTGGTCCAGCTTGGCCTGCGATTGCTCTTCAAACATGGTGACTTGGACTGCCGGTATTACATATGCGGGTTCAGTGTATCCCCCCTGTCGTTCGTGTATATCGATGTGCTGCTGGAGTGAGGCCTATGACGATATCAGAGCATCACCATACCTTTCTCTCTCCTGTTTCTCTTGCGAAGCACAGTTCAACTTGGAAAGGCCGAACAGTGAGGGGAGGGGACGGCCATTTTTATACACGGGAACCTCGTCTGATACCATTGATCCTAGTACCAACAAGCCCTCAGATGCTGTTCGTCTCTTACGCTGTGTGATGTAACGAACAGTCATGGTAAGATGAGTTATTTGTCACTGCTCATTGGCTGGGATGTCGTTGACGTCAGCCCATGTGCTCCATGCTGTGTGAATCATTCCAGACTTCTTAGGGGAGGGATTCCCCATGCCTATTCATGGCCAACTTTCCGATACGTTATGTCTCTTCATGACGCACTCGATGTTTACAGGTATTACGACAATTGTTAGTTTATAGCTCTTTTTTTTTTTATCTTTACAATTAACAGAAGATTACATCTCTGGAGATATCTGCTCATGATAGACCATGTTATATATAGTTCGATGAATAATATAGACGGTTGTTCTTGATTGTCAATGTAGATGTAGGGTAGGTAGCTGGCCCCTTTTTTTTTTTTTTTAATTCAATTTAACTCAATTTTTTATTCTTTTTTAAAAAAAGGAACAACCCAGAGAGAGCGCCAAGGCAAGCCAGCCAAGTCAAGCAGAAAGCTCCAACGAAACATCTCCATACCAACGAGCAACAATACGTTGAGCTCACATCGAGCTACAACGACGCCAAACAAAAAGAAAAAGGAGATATAATACAGCATCCGCTTGATCCTCCATGCAATTTTAGAAGGGCGGAATAGAGGAGTGAATAGCATCACTTGCCGAGGAGAGCGTGGCCATGCGTGAGAGAATCACCCTCGTCCACCGCCCGGAATCGGGTATCGACCCCGACGCCCTCACCCTCGACAAGTCAGGTCTGAAGGCGCCATCATCGATCGAGGCCGTGCGCGAGGACAGGCTCACCGTCACCCTGGATACCTTGACGCACGAGCTCGCGCAGCTCCTGCAGGACTTTGACGTGCTGCGTGTGCGGTGGGCTAGCCCGGTTCGGCATCAGACCCTGGAACCCTTCTCGTCGAGGCTGTCACCTGGGTTGCACGTGTCGTATACACCGTCCAGCAGTGAGACTCCTCATGACCCGTATGTTATTCTCTCCGCTCTCTCCACTCTCTCCATCTCTATGCCTCTCTTCATCACTTCCTTTGATCTCTTTTTCTTTCCTTCTCTTCTTGAACCAATCTCCCTACTGACAACGCTGCAGGTCACGACTATGCGCCTTCCTGCGAGCTCTAGGTCCACTGGACTGCATGTCCCACGAGGTATGTACGTCACCTCCCATCACCAGCGTGCAGAGAAAGAGAAGAGCAGAAGAGAGAGAGTCCTGCTAAAGATGGAAAACAAAACAGGCATTCACCATCTCCGGAAGTCCTGATAAACCAGATTACTACTTCTACCAGCCCATGCTAGACATCGAGGCCATATCACGCGCCTTCGAGACGGATCTCTGCCGTGGCCACGAGTCGTGCCGGACGCGGGCCGGAGAGCTCAAGACGGCCGCATCTGTCGACTTCACCTTTGACAAGGGCACCGAGGTGTCCAAGCTCAGTGCCCTGTGGCCTCTGAGCGAGCAGCAGGTTGACTTTGTCGCGGACCCGTCGCACAGGGTAGAAGTCGGCATCCTGACACGGGGTGAGCCCCCCAGCCTGGGCCGGCACGACGTGGGCATGTCCGGGCTGCTGGCTGTGCTGGGGGAGCGCAAGACGCCGTCGCCTACGCTGTTCAAGTTCGCATCGAGGCACCGGACTGCGGCAGCGCACTTCACCTCGCGGTTCCTGGCCCCGACGGGGCTGCACCCTACGCTGCAGATCAGCCTGGACGGGGCCGGCGGCGGTCGACCTCCCTCGTCGTCGTCGTCGGAGGAGGACGGGGACGGGGACGGGGACGGGGACGGCGCGTGTAAGCCGTACGCCTTTCTTACGCTTCCCAAGACCATCTTCGCAGACAGGTACCAGCTCGACGACCAGCTCTTCCTGGCATCCAAGAACCTCACTGCCGCGCGGCACATGAGCCACCCCGTCGACCTCGAGGCCCCCGCATACACCACGACCACGTGGGGGTCCAACCTGCTCGTTGAGATGGCTGCCCCCGGAAGCGACGGGTGGACGGTCGAGGTGCCCCTGCACCTACGGTACCTCGAGCCCTCGGCGACGGGCGAGAGGGATGTCGCCGTGCCGTACCCCGTCGTGTTCTGGGCATGCGAGCGAGCCGCGGAGGGGACCGCGCTGGCCGACAACCCCTTTGACAGGACTGGTCTGGGGTACGACCAGCTGTTCAGCCCGGACACGGTCTTTTGGCATGTCGAGCCGAGGCCCGCACACGGCGCGGCCACCGCCGACATTGTGAATCACATCGCTGTGCCGGTGCTGAGGGAGGAGGCTGCGTCGTGGGTCGGCGCGGGCACGGCAGCGGTGGTGTCGTTGGGTTTCGCTTGGGTGCTGTGGAAGCTGGCCACGCTGTATGCCAGTGTCGGATACAAGGCTGGTGCGGGAGACGACAAGAAGAGGCAGTAGTCATCGATTCCGGGCGACACAACAGGCAGACAATGGAATGGAGTCTCCTTACAACTGTCTCGGCCTTTCCTCGCAAGCACACCGTGCCTCGTTGGAAGAGGACAGGCATTTACACGCTTCTCCACCCACATATCTTTGAAGCGTGGAAACCTCACAGATATTGCCTATCTTCCCGGGGCGAGAGAGAAGAAAGAAGAAGAAAATGGTAGAAGCCGCCCTAACCTACAGTGACAGATTCGGTGACAGTGACGGGAGCGCTGTGATACAGGGGGCGTGTCTACGCCGACATTCTATAAGGCGCTGTATCCGTGGCGGCGTATCCGCGGCGTATCCGTGGCATCGCCGTCGTGAAACGCTCCTGGTACCTGCGTTAGAGGAACGGGTAGAATTTCTCAAGGGCGTGATACATCTGGGAATTACTGGTTCTACCCCCCTTACAAGAGCAGATATATATATATCAGAAAATCAATCATGATTTCTTTTTTTTTTCTTCTCAAAAAGGAAGAGATTTACGTTAGCGTCCGTCTTCGAGCTGTACGAGATAAATCCTCCATACTTACGTGGATGACGTATGGTGTTTCACACCTTACAATGGCAGCACGTGACTCTCGGGGATAATGGGGTTTGTGACGTTGATGGCTTCACTCTTCTCCCATGTTGCCTTGTGTATGTTTTTTTCCATGACGATATCGAGAGTATTGCCACTCATGAAAATACGTTATAGAGCATCTCATATACACGCAGACACATTCACTCTCTCATGAGTGAAGAAGACTGACACACGCGAATCATCATCCCATCGCCACCATCCGATGGGAGGAGAGTCATGCCATCAACGACCTGGCAGCGTCGGGACCGGAACCGGGAAGAGGAAAAGGACAGAGATGAACCATATCGTCGTGGGGGAATCCCGCACGGGGCAGATGGAAGATGAACCCGCGACGTCGCCACCACAGCGGCAGCACCATAGACAGGGACAGGGGCAACGGAATGAGGACCGTATCCGACGCAATGTGGCCTGTGTCAATTGTCGCGACTCCAAGGTAACGTTCTGTCTCTTCAACTCCTGGCGAGTCTCGGCTGTGTGAGATGAGTGGGTGAGCGGTTTTTGACAGTGTTCAGGTCCGATGTCTACAGAGCCACGTCTCCGGTGAACCGTGTCAGCGCTGCGCCAAACTCGACCTCTCGTGTGTCGTGGACAAGTCACACAAGAGAATCACCAAGAAGAGGTAATCATCGGAATCTGACAGGTTCACGCACAGGAGAAACTGACAGGACAACTTGATCAGCAAACTCGAGAAGTTGGAGCAGGAACTCGATGCCATCCGTCAGGTCGTAGCCGTCCCAGTAGCGGCCGGCACCTCAGCGGCAGCAGCGGCAGCAGCAGTGGCAGCCGTGAGAAGCGATGAGCCACCTCGTCCTCCCCGGAGTCCCAGGGCCTCTCAGACATCAGCTTCACAGGAATCGCGTCCGTCATTGTCACACCACGGAGGAAGGCCATGGGAGTCGACGGCAACACCCACGCCAGGCAACAGCAACAACACCCAACAACGACAAGAACAAACAGCACCACCAGTACTGTCGCATGCATCGTCGAGACGCCCACCCAAGGATCTCCCCTCGCAGCCCCGCACCATTGGTGATAAGCGCGTCTCCGGCGAAGACGTCGACTTCTACTTTGACAAATACCTGGAACTATACCATCCCCTCGTCCCCGTCCTGCGCAACAGGGACCCAGACGCCTGCTACCAGGCCAGCAGCACCCTCTTCTGGATCGTCGTCTCCGTCGCGTGCCGCCGGTACTCGCGTGACCCGGACCTGTTGGCCATCTTGGTCGACAACCTGAGCCGGGACATCTGGGCCGTGCTGCTGCTGCCCATCACCAAGCTGGAGACGATACACGCGCTGCTGCTGTTCTGCGCGTGGCCAATGCCCACCATCCGCCTGGTCACCGACCCTTCCACCGTCCTGGCCAGCATCGCGCTCAACGTCTCCATGATCGTGGGCCTGCATACGGGACGTGGGTCGCACCCCGAGTTTTGCGTGGGGAGGAGGGTCAACATGACGTTTACCGATGAGGATGCTGCTGTTACTTGGGTTCAGGCGTGTATTCTCGCGCAGAGGTGAGGACCGCAAACTCTTGCTTTTGAGGGAGAGCGTATGAATAAGAGAAGGAGAGAGACTGACATCTTCTTCTTCTTCTTCTCCGTATCTTTGTTTCATTTGACAATAAAGAGCCGCAGCAAACATTGGTCAACCACCACCGTCGATACAACTCGGCGACGCCCCGTCCAAAAAGGCACTCTCGTCACCGGAATGGTCCGACCTCCTGGTCTCGTACGACGTCCAGCGCTACCTCAACCGCTTCCACCTTGCCATGGCGTCTCACGTCACCAACCACGGCCACGTCCCGGAGAGCAGCGTATCCGACTGGGAGGACGAGTTTGAGATGCTCAAGGGCACACTGTCAAGACGGGACCGGGACCCAGACCCCAAGTTCCTATCCAGATCCAACTCCGACTCCGACTGCGACCCCGACCCTGATTCAGACTCTACACGCCTCGTCCTCCTGACTGCCAAGCAGGAGATCCAGAGCTACTACTTCGCCTACCCGCCCGACAACCCGGGGCCCAACCTGGCCGTCAACACGGCACGCGCCCTCCTGACGGCCAGATCCATCATCTTCACGGCCCTCGCCCTCGAGGCCTCACCGCTACGACTCCTCTCCCACTCTCCCGGCTGGGTATTTCGCTCCGTCGTCGCGGCAGCAAGCCTACTCGTATCGGCACTACACTCTCAATCCCCACCGCCCCTCGATGTCGCCGGTCACCAAACTCAGGCCACAACAGCAGCAGCAGCAGCAGCAGAAGCAGCACCACCACCACCACCCTCCTCGACATCTCACTCCCACACCGTCCCAACCCGACAACAACAATCAAGCAGTGGCTCACCTGATCCCTCAGCAGCAGCGGCGGCGGCGGCAGACGACCTAGTGAACAAGTGCATATCAGCCCTAGAGGCATGCTCCATCTGCGACGCCGACCTGCCCGACCGCAGCGCCAACATAATCAGGGGTTTCTGGTCCCAAAGACGGCGCATACCCGTCATCGGTCCCGCCGCCATGTCCTGGCCCAACCGCCTCTCGGCCGGCACCACATTCTGGTGCCTGGCCCGTCTTCACCGTAACGTGACGGATCTTCAGGGGTACAATGCTCCTGGTGATGGGACTGGCGCTCCTGCTGCGAGGATCAACGGGCCACGTCATCAACAACATCAGGACCAGAACCAGAGCCATGACCGAGATCAGAACCAGATGCAAGATCAAGATCGAAATCAACCACAGGACCAGCAGCAGCAGCAGCAGTCGTGCTTGGCTCCTCAGAAATATTTGAACCGACGTATGGTCTTTTCTTCTCTTTTCCTTTTTCTTCCCCCCCCTCCCCTCCCCTCCCTTTATTTTTGTTTATTTTTGTTATATCCTCCCCTCCCCCCTCCTCTCTATATGAATTATCCAAGACTGACCGTGATGATGTTGTAAAATAAAAAATAAAAAGGAAAAAAAGATGACTTGTACCGAGGGAATAATAGTAGTGTCGGTCATGGCCCCACCGCCGAACCAGATCATACGTCCCGTAAGCAATCCCTCGATACTAACGTAACTGCCAACGCTACTGCGGCCGCGACCACCATACCCCAGAATTTCGATGCCTTTGGTGGTGTGGACTGGTCCATGTTTATGGATGAGTTTAACTGGGATGATTCCGAGACTTTATTCACGGGAATGTCTTGATATATATATATATATATATTTGTCTTGAACTTTTTTTTTTTTGCTGTATACATCACCATTGGTATCTATCTCGTAGATTTACTACTAATGTGTACTCTTTTTTTTCTTAATGTCACAATACACTAAAATTGAATGTCAATACATTGGATGTAATGAGTGTCAATGGCTTTGGGTTTATTCATCACCTATAGGGTATAAGGGAATCAATGTCATGATGTTTTGTTGCCTTGGCTCTCTTCCTCTTCTAATACGTAACAACTAGGAAGATATTGTCTATTTTCTATATACAGGTTGATGCAAAGGCCCATTTCTTGTAGATAATCTTCTTTTCGTAAAGTGTAGCTATTGTACCGAGTATTTTTTAAAATCATAATACCAAGCTGAAGAGGGGAAAAAAAAAAGAAATACAGGCCAACTGAAAGAATCCATCCATATACGCATTACCCTCTGTCTCAAAGCAAAGAACCCATCCTCAATAAAAACATAAAACTCCGAAAATGCCATGCCCTTTTGTTTTTCCGTTTGTTTCATACAAGACCCCAAGGACCGAGGACCAGGGGACAGAGGACAGTCAATCAAGTGTAAATGTCCTCGTCCATCCCCTCCTCGCCGAAATCTTCGAGCGCATCATCTGAGTCCACCATCTCGACCTCGCCGTCGACGTCGCTATCGGGGTGGTTGGGCAGGACGACGAGGCGTCCGTCGTCGAGCTCCACGCGGGCCGACTCTCCGTCGCGCACGTTGTTGCGCAGGATGAGGACGGCCAGTTTGTTGAGGATCTCCTGCTCGATGAGGCGCTGGAGTGGGCGGGCGCCGTAGGCGGGCGAGTAGCCGCTGGCACTGAGCTGGTCCTTGGCCTCGTCCGACACCTCGATGCGGACCTTGCGGCCGTTGTCTTCGAGACGCTTCTGGATCTCGGCCAGCCGGAAGTCGACAATCTTGCGGATCTCCCGGCGCGTCAGCCTGTTGAAGATGACGATCGAGTTGATGCGGTTGAGGAACTCGGGGAGGAAGTAGTTGCGCAGGGCGCCCATGACCAGCTCCCGTGCTGCCGGCTCCACGCGGCCCTCCTTATTGCTGCGGGTCAGGTATTCGGCTCCCAGGTTGGACGTCATGACGACGATGCAGTTCTTGGCGTCCACCACGCGGCCTTGGCCATCGGTGATGCGCCCGTCGTCCATGAGCTGCAGGAGGACGGTCAGGATCTCCTTGGCCGCCTTCTCCACCTCATCGAACAGGAGGATGGAGAACGGACGGCGACGGAGAGCCTCCGTCAGCTGGCCTCCCGCGTCGTGGCCCACGTATCCGGGCGGCGCGCCAATCATGCGGCTGAGTGCGTGCCGCTCCTGGTACTCGGACATGTCGAGTCGGATCATGGACTTGGGGTCGTCAAACAGGAACTCAGCGAGGGCCTTGGTCAGCAGCGTCTTTCCCGTACCCGACGGTCCGCAGAAGAGGAAGCTGGGAGGTGAGTTGGGGTTGCTGAGTCCGGATCGCTGCAGGCGAATCGCGTTGGAGACGGCCTGCACGGCCTCCTTCTGTCCGACGACGGACTTGCCCAGCACCTTTTCCATCTGGATGAGCTTCTCCTTCTCCGAGGTGCGGAGGCGGGTGACGGGGATGCCGGTCCAGCGGGCGACAATCTCGTTGATGTGGTCGGCCGTGACGATGTCCGTCACCATGGAGCCGCTGTCGGCGCCCGAGGCGTTGAGCGCGGCGTCGGCCTGGGCTTTCTTGGACTCGAGCTCCTTGATGACGGCCTCCTGCTCGGGGATGGCGCCGTACTTGAGGTCGGCGGCCTTGGCGTGGTCTCCCGCGTTCATGGCATCCTCGAGGCGCTTCTCGAACTCGTCCAGCTTGACCTTGGCCAGGTGGATCTCCTCGCCACGCTTGATCTCGTTCTGGTACTTTTCGCGCAGCGGCTGGAGCTCCTCCTCGACATTCATGGCATCCTTCCTGGCCTGCTGGAGACGAGTCTGGGATGCCTCGTCCTTCTCCTTCTCCAGGGCGGCAATCTCGATCATGAGCTGCCTAAGCTTACGCTCGAGGGAGTCGATCGCCTCGGGCTGCGACTCGCGGGCCACGCGCACGGCAGCGGCAGCCTCGTCGACGAGGTCGATTGCCGAGTCGGGCATGCGTCGCGAGGTCAGGTAGCGGGCCGCCAGATTAGCGGCGGCCACCAGGGCGTTGTCGAGGATGGTGACGCGGTGGTGCCTGTCGTAGCGCTCCTTCAGACCTCGGAGGATGGAAATGGTCTCGTTGACGGTTGGCTCCTTGACCAGGACCTGCTGGAAACGACGCTCAAAGGCGGCATCCTTCTCAATGTACTTGCGGTACTCGTTGAGCGTCGTGGCACCGATGCAGTGCAGCTGGCCACGGGCCAGCATGGGCTTCAGAAGGTTGGCGGCGTCCATGCCGCCCTCTCCGGAGGAACCGGCGCCCATGAGGAGGTGAATCTCGTCGACGAAGAGGACAATCATGTCCTTGGAGTCCTCAATCTCCTTGAGGACGCCCTTCATGCGCTCCTCAAACTCTCCACGGTACTTGCTGCCGGCGACGATGGAGCCGACGTCGAGGGAGAGGAGCTTGCAGTGCTTCAGGTTGTCGGGGACATCGCGGTTGACGATTCGCTGGGCGAGACCCTCGATGACGGTGGTCTTGCCCACACCGGGCTCACCGATGAGGACCGGGTTGTTCTTCGTGCGTCGGGACAGGATGCGGATGGTGCGGCGAATCTCCTCCTCTCGGCCGATGACGGGGTCCATCTTCTTGTCCCGGGCCATGGCTGTCATGTCAATGGTGAACTTGGCCAGGTTCTCGTTCTCCTGCTCCGTATCGGCCGTCTTGCTGTCGACTCGCTTGGTACCGCGGATGGCCTGGACGGCGTCCTGGACCAGCTTGGGCCGGGGGATGTTTGCATCATGGAGTGCGGCCTGGACGGTGCTGTCCTCTGAGAGTGCGTTGATGAGGTGGTCGACGCCGATGTACGAGTCCTTCTGAACCTTCTGGAGCTCCATAGCCTTGCGCAGCACGGTGTGGAACTGAGGGGCCAGCGAGACCTGCTCTGGCGGGGGGTCTTGGCTCGGTAGCCGCACCAACCTCTTCTTCAAGGCACGGTCAAAGAGCTGAGGATCGCCGTTGGCTCGTTCCACTACTTGCCGAAACAATGTGGTTGAGGGGGTTGCTGTCGACCCATGCTGCTCCTGGTTCTTGTCATGAGGGTCGAGAAGCGACACTGCGAGATGGATGGGCAAGAGCTGGGAGTTGCCGTATTGCTCGGCCAGGGTCATGGCACCCTCCACAGCCTGTTTTGCCCGGTCTGTGAAATCCATGTTGGCTGACATGATGAATGTGGTGTATGTGCGGTATGTGGTTGTGTGTGTGTGTGTGTGTGTCAAGGAATAATTATATGAACTAGTATGGGAAGAGGGGGGGGGGGTATTTAAAGGAATAAGTCGTGATCGCTTTGCTTTTTGTAGTGTATATGAAGAATGATGAGAGAGTAGAAAGAAGTTTCCGGGGAGGGGGAGGGCCGTCAACGGCAGAGCATTATTATACTCGTATCCTCAAGATGCAAGGTGAGAATAGATATCTTCACTGGCAGGAGCTGGAAAGCCAGAGTTGGATCTGGGACGGGCTACAAATGACAAGGACTGACCAGCAGACACCAACCGTCACGAGCAGCTACCAGTAGGCACTCTGACTCTCAGGAAGATACAAGAAGCTCGTAGAAGGTTCAGGCGGTTTGCCTGATGTCATTCGCCGCCCAACCTTTGGTGGAAGTGGGGAGCGAGCTCTATGATTGGTCAGAATGGTCATGCCACTTTCGGTAAGACAGAATGGGTCACCCTCGTGTATGCATAGATCACGTGAGTGAGCGCGAGCCGGCGGAACTCCGGGGGGAGGAGGAAGGTGAGGAAGAAATTCGTGTATGCCGTAGCCCATTCTGCCCATTGAGATTGCCATACGCGACAGCGCGGCCGGCCACGACGGATCGACAACGACGAGAACGATGAACTCAGCAGTGCCGACACTCCGGATGGGTCAGCCCATGACGGGGCTCCCGAAGGCGTGCGTCCGGTCGATATCTCACAGCAGCAAGCCGCGCAAGGCGTCGACGGGGTTCGTCGGACCCCCTGGCCACGGCGAGAAGATTTGGATATGGAGTCATAGGAGGACAGATCAGACCATCTATACGCTACGGAACCGTCTTGATGTGAGTTTCCTCTCTCTCTCTCTCTCTCTCTTCTCTTTTCTTCTTCTTTTTTTCTCTTCTTTTTTTCATATACTATATATCTATCAACTTTTCTATCCAATCGAACTGTCAGCTGACGAGAGAGTCTTGTCCCTTTGCAGCACCACCATGACCTAAAGCAGATCCCCTACAACGGCAAAAAGCTCAAGCCGGCCAAGCTCCGGCCGGACTACTGGTCCCGTATGGCGACGGTCGAGCTCCCCCCCGGCCAGGGCGTCATCGGCCGCTCCATCTACCAGAAGCTCCGGGAGCTCAAGAAGCTGCATGAGCTGGAGTGGGACGACGACATCCGCGTGCGCCCCGAGTCCGACTTTAGCAAGGCCGACGTCAAGCAGGCCAAGAAGGCGCTCGAAGAGGGCCGCGAGTACAGACCGATGCGCAGCAAGAGGGAGCGCGGCGTCGCCCTCAACGCCCAGAAGAAGAACTCGATCGCTGACCTGGCCGCCGTCCTTGCCGGGCAGGGCCGCGGCAACAGGCTGGTCACCTCGAACGACGAGGCCGGGGGTGAGGGCGCCGGCGAACTCTTGCCCGTCACCGTCAACTGGGCCAACGACCAGGACAGGAACTACGCCGAGGAGTGGTCGTCAAACGTCACGCACGGTCTGTACGAGGAGCCGTCGTATGTGGCTGATGAGGTCTGAGCCGCGCTAGCCGCTGTTGCACATCGGGCCCGGCGGACGGGATAGGCCCAAGACCCTGAGGGTTTGGCAGCATGTGCACTGTTCCGGAGAGATGACTTATCGTACCGACTGAGGAGAGGAGGGATAAGCCGAGACGGTAATCTGCGACTGGCCTAGTGTCCAGGATTTTTTATCTGCGTCTCTTGTATACATATATGTCGTGAGCACTTTCATACAGCTCCGAATCCTGTACAACCTGTATTACTTTGTTTAGAGAAGAGAAGGAGAGCGACAGAATAGAAGCACGAGGATACAAGACCCCACAGACCACGGTCTCTATTCCAATCTGGTCTCAGCTAAGCAAGACGACACATTATAGGTTTAAGAAGGAGAAGGGGGACGGGGGATAGAAGAAGCAGTCACGTTGGAATTGGGTGTGTGTGTGTGTGTATCTCCAAGAAAGTGAGAAAGGGGGGGGTTGGGTTTATATAAAAGGACAAACATAAAGATCTAAATAAAATAAAATAAAGGCTCGCACCGTCGTACAAGTCAAAAGATTAAGAAGAAGAGAGAGAGAGACAGAAGGCTATGGCTATTTCGCCTGGGGTTTGATGCAGAATTGCTTCAGGTAATTGTAGCTGCTGATGTTTGCGTCGACAGTTTTGCGAATGACTCTCTGGCCTTCGGGACCATACTTTTGTAGCCACTCGGCGTCTTCAGCCTCGATGGAGGGTTTCTTCTGTTTTAGGGGGTTGTTTTATTAGCAGTTGACTTGTATGTGTGTGTATGTGTGTGTGTGTGTGTGTGTGTGTGTGTGTGTGTGTGTATGTGTCATGTTGTGTATTGTATGTATATGGATAGAATAAAGAAGGAATTTCGGAGTATACTCGGTTCAACAACCAAGAGACTTTTCTTTAAAGAAAAAAAAATTGTAAGATGAAATAGGAATAAAGAGAGAAAAAAAAAAGGTACCTGTTCATGTGTGCGGGGACGCAGGGCGTTACTGTGGATAGCATCGTCGTGGAATCCGTTCCACTTGGCAAAGTGGATCTGGGCGTGGCGCCTGTCGTCGTCGTCCCACTCGAGCATGTCGGGGGAGAAGTCGATGTCGGTACGTCGGCAGTACTCGCGGATGATGGGTTCCGGGTCGTCGAGCATGTCGTCCGCGTCGATGACGGTGAGCTGGTCGCGGCCGACGACGCCGCTGTTGACGAGGAAGTCGAAGAGGCGGACGAGCTCGTCGTAGCCGGACTCGCCCGGCATGTACTCGAAGTTTGTGATGTCGCGCAGCGGCGGGATGGTGGTCCGGTAGTACGACGGGATGGACCGGCGCGGGTGTCGGATCAGGAAGGTGAAGTGGAACCTGCGCAGGAGCGAGAGGGGCACGACCGTCGGGTTGCCGGCCTCGACGCCTCCGCCCAGGGACGGGGCGATCTGGGCGCGCTGCCCGTCCGGGGGCATCAGGTAGTATGCCATGTCCTTGACGAAGATTCTCTTGCCCTGGACGGTTTGTCGGGGGTGTGAGCGATTCCCGACATCTGACAGTCATCCTCCCACAAGGGGGGAGGGAGCGATGTATAGAGAGCAATACGAGGAGAGTAGTGATGATGTAGGAAGATTGGGGGGGAGAGGAGGGAGAGGAAGGAGGGTGTAGGAAGAAGAATGGGGCAAAGGGAAAGACAGCACAGCAGCACCCTGTCAAGATGGACGGGGAAGGCTTCGTGGATGGGCAGTGTGCAGTGGATCTCAGAGCTCAGGGCGTCGCGGCGAGCGGGGAAAAGGGCAGGATTCTAACCTCTCTCTGACCGTCTCCGAGAATCTCGTCGACAGTATCCAGGTACGTCTTGTCGATGGCACCGGAAGCCTCGCGGGCAGCATCGTTGCCCTCGAAGCGTTTACTCGTGGACTCGGGTCCGTAGTAGAAGGCCTCGCCGAAAGGCTCATGGAAGCACTCGAGCTCATCACGACGCTTCATAAAGACCTGTTTTCCATTTGTTTTGATTTTTTTTTCCCCTCTGTCAGTCACAGTCAACAAGGAGGGGGGGGGTTATGTTCGTTGAGGGTAGAGGGTATGACGTACACGTTCAAAGGCCGTGGAAACGGCTCTGGGGTGTGTAGCACAGAAGATGGGACGGGGGGCCATGTTGATAGATGGTATATATATATATATATATATATGTGTGTGTGTGTGTGTGTGCGTGTGCGTGTGTTGTGTATATATGTATATGTATAGGGGGAAGTTGGTTGAGAGGGTGGTGTTTCCAAGTGAGAAGGAAACCAAGTAGGTAAACTAGTTTAGAGTAGTCGAGAGTTGGGAGAGGGAGGAACGAGAAAGGAAGAAGTAGAAGAAGAAGAAGAAGAAGTAGAAGAGGAGGGAAGAGAAGAACGGGAGAGGTAACAGCTTCAGAGAAGAGGCAACAGCTTTATACTCTCTGGAAATCCAGTGTCCCGGGAAAGAGAGTTACAGTTACAGCGTATCATGCTGAACGATACGAAGTGGGCGAGAGCCCGGGAAAAAAACATAGAAGGCAGCAAGGATAAAGAGAGAGTAGAAAGAGAGGAGGGGGTGGGGGAGGAGAGCAGGAGGCGACGACAAGTTTAGCTACATTTCATTGCCCTATACAGGCAAGGCAGAGAGAAAAATGAAAAAAATTGAAAAATTGAAAAAATTGAAAAAAGACGGGTGCATAACACAGTAACAGCTGTCTTATGACAGCTCCGTGAAGCTTCGGAGCAACTCAAAAGGTAAGACAAGCAAGTATTACTATAGCATCGCTATGCTGTGCAGAGAGAGAAAGACCGCGGACCATCCCACGCCAAGATGACCACGGATTGAGACCAAGGCAAGATGTACGTAAGAGCTTGGGAGACCCACGCTGTTGATAGAAACTCTACCTCTGAGAGGGAGAGAGAGGGAGAGAAAAGGACGAAAAACTCCCATGAAAAAGAAGCTATATAAATCTATTTTAAATCTATTTAAAAATATTTAAAATAAGATAAAAAATACAAGGGTGGAGTGGGCCGTGGGGCGGGGCGCATCCGGATGGAACTACATGTCGATGTAGGGTATTGAAGAGGATCTGATTTGCCCACGGGTTGGCTGCGAAGAGGATGGTAATGTGGTTATGCCCTGTAACTTACTGGGCGAGAGGGAGAGGGAGAGAGAGAGAGAGAGACCACAATCAGACTTTCAATAGTCATGACGAAACCGGTTCGAACCTTTTTTTTTTCCTTCCTTTTTCTTTCTTCCTCCTCTGCCTTCTTCTCCCACGTACCGTTAGGGGGTTCCGTTTTAGTTCTTGGTGATGTCTACCATGACATTGCTCGCATGGTAACATACGTAGGTAGTATACACACGCACATTGGCGAGCACGGCTACTATTACTATCGTATACGGAGTAGTGATAGAGTGACCATACCCAGTGACTTTTCTCTTCTCTTCTTTTCTTTTTTTTTTCTTTTCTTACCCCTAGTAGAGTATTGACTAGCGGAGTTAGTTTTTTTTCTCTCTCTTCATCACTAGTGACGGTTGTACCTTTTCTCCTCTTCCAAGACGATTCGTACTAACTACTCTGCATACACTAACCAGTAGATGGTGTTGACACTCCACGCCGTCAGCTTCTCCGATGCGACCGTCCGAAAGCGAGAATCAATCGGGTACCACAGGGATCGACTACTACGAATGTCAGCATCTCTTCCGCCCCCTCGCCCCGCCTCCTAAAAGAAGAGAGGAAAAAGGAAAAAGATCAGCTAAGAAAAAAAAAAATGCCCAGGTCGAGCTGTACTCTTATTACCAGACTTTAGCCTCATGATGGAAAAACTTGGTTTTTCAGAAACAAGAAAAAAGAAGAAAAGGGTCCCGACCTTGGGGGTTCCTTCGCCCCCACCTCTCTCTCTTCTCCCTCCATCTCTCTCCGTCTCTCCCTCTCTTCAGCAAGGCGGGACTTGTTTCTCCTCTTGTTTTCCTTGCCGATATAGAATCTTAGCAATGAGAAGAGGAGAAGGAAGAATACCGTCAGCACCAGAGGAAGAAGAAGCCACTTCTCCTGCATTACAGCACATCGTATCATCCACCCCATTCCCGTCCATCCTTTCTTTTTTTTTTTCCTGTCCCCTTTCCTTGGTCATGTACATGTATATATATATATATATATTGCATGCTGCCCCTCCTCCTTCCTCCCCTCTCCCCTCCCCCCAAAAACCTCCCCCCCCAAAAGAAAAGGAAAAAGAGGTACCCTTCGGTTTAGAGAAGAAAAAAAATGTCCCTTCCATGACTGTATCGATTGCCTCATCTCCAGACTCGGCCATAGGCTCATTCGACGCACATGGTCTCCTCACTCCATCAGGCGCGATTTCTAGACCCTTGTTCACGGCTCGTCGTATCATTGCTACATGCCCCGTGCCTGTGACGTTGCTGACGTAAAATTCCCCACCTGTTTGCCTCTCGAACCTCTCAGATCCTTTTTTTTTTTCGCGTGTTGTGTGTGTGTCCTTGTTTCCTTCTTCCGGAGGGTCCACCCTCTTCCGTTCAGTTGGTCGTAGCTTCCCGACGGTCCTTGGGGGGGAGGGGGGAGGGG